TGAATTATAATGCCAAATGGCAAAAAAGAATGGTCAAATATCAAATGTGTGCACTATGTTTTGAGTTTTCAATGGCTGTGTCTACTACCCTATAAACCAATGACATCTCAGGCTGAGTTTACATTTGAAACTACAGTACATTCTAAAACTGATTTCGGACAGGCTTCTGGTGCAGCATAATTGTCTAGGCTACGTACGCTGCTGCAGAACAAGTATGGACTTGCTACTGCCAATAGATACACAGACATGCTGCTGTGAGCATGTAAGATATGCTGCATGAATAGGCATACACAAATCTACAGATAGCAGATCTAGACTGGTGGTGCTGGGGGAGGTGGAGGGTTTTGGATGAACTTTAATAGCAGCCAGCTTTCAGCAAACACTGAACCAGTCTATTTAAATGTTGAGCAAGCAAGTTCACTGGCTGCAGAATCAGCACAGGCCAATCAGCTTGTGCCATGTAATAAATTGTGATTGCTAGCAGATTGCAGGTAAAGGGCCTATTAGCCTGCACCATCCAGAGTTTCCCAGCTAATTGACCCTTCACTAAGAGCTTGATTGACAGGTGATCTGACCAGTCATAATGCCAAATCCACCATTTTGTCTGACAAACTAATCAGACCGGAGAGTAGATTAACTTCTTTGGACTTAAACTTGAAAAATGGTGTGCATTGACATCTTTCCGCAGTTGAAATAAAATACATTCTGATGTTCATTCATGTTTATTTCATGCTTTAAGTAAATATGAAAGGACGATCGTTTCATGTACCATTTGAACTGAGGCGCTACAGTGATCTGTCACTACACATTAAAGAGCCACAAAACGGTATTTATTGTTTGAATTTCTTAAAAAATTACCAAATTTGACACCTGAGACCTTGTTTCATACCAGAAGTAACCAGCTCTGTCTTGTCTGTCGGCGCATTGTCAGTTTCCTCTCTGCTCCGCGATGTATTTTTCACTGCGTGAGAATATGGCATGTAGTGTGAGAGCGGCATGGCTTGTCGGACATAGCAACAGTAACTAAGGAGGGCAGGTTTTTTCGAAGGGCCAATTGCCAGTCGTAACTTTCAGATGCCTGTTTTTTTCCTTTATCTCAACATCCATGGATTTGCATGTCATTTTGGAACTTGGCATTAATCACCATCGCATGACATATAAGATGACAAAATCTGAACTAGATTTTTAATATGCTGAAAGTATTAAATATACTTCCCAGAAGAAAGTTAAAGGTGGAACATGGAACATGAGGGCGAGTGAACAATGGCATAGAGTAACTTTCATTTTTAGGTAAACTATTCCTTTAACATTCACACAAACAAACATGCATTTACAGACATACATAGTCTTGAATATGGATGTGGAATATTGTTTGTGTAATCTCAAAGGCTTTTCTTTGTTTCTAAATTTTGTTATGTTTTAGAGCATCTGACAGTCTGTGTTCTGCTTGTCTGAGTGTTGAGCTCAGGAGACTGTCTTTCCGTAAAGGTGCTAGAATCTGTGCATGCTGATGTGAGTACAAAGTGGAAAAGGGAAAGAAGTTTGCATAGTTTAATTGTACACAGTTAAACATGCAAAAGTACTTTTATGATAAGCAGGAATTCCACAGTAATGGAAAACCCTACTGCGGCCATCTGTTTTTACCACAGGTCAGTCATTATAGAGACATCACGTTCAGAATAAACGCTGGCATAGACAGTCTCAGTAACACTTTCAGGGAGCGTAGTATAAACCCTGCTGATTGACAGAAAAGACAGACTGCTGTAGTTTCACCTGCTCCCCTTCTCCTTACAATTTACAAATGTGTGCAGAGCGTCAGGCTGCCAGAACATGGTGTGGGGCTGCATATGCCACCCTGTTCCCACACCGCTCCCCCTCCCGCCACAGACTGAGACGAGAATTATGCTAAGCTGAACTCAGACTGTATGCTGCCAACCTGTTCCTGTCATATGCGGAGGGCTGCTGGTTATGCTGATACCCTCTCTCTTTCTCTCACTTTCACCCACCCACTTTTTAACACATGAGCTCTGTTCCAAAACCCAGTGAGCTGCATCATCTACTTCATTCTAGCATCCTAACCATGATAGAACCTCTCAAATGAACAATTGGAATGCTAATATTAAGTAAACATTTTTCCTTTTTAATCACACTCAGCGTTTTTTTCATTGAAATTTAACTTTATTTGCAGGACTGAACAGTAAGGGTGTTTTCTGCTTGCTAGGATTAAGCAACTTGATGTTGTTTTCAACAGAAAATTCTATGAATAATAAAATATAAAATCAAATAAAAATTTACACTTTAACTATATTTTAAACCATTACATATATATATATTTTTTTTAAATGTTAGATTTTCCTTACAAAGAAATTTTGAAATATGTCTGTAAATTACAGTTGTAATGATACAACTCCAGAAGAACAATAGATGCATAAACACTTTTTGATGCTACCAAGGCTGTCACAAATATTACATTTATGACAAAGGCTCATATATGTCAGACAATTTATTTTAATCATTTTTTGCCCATATGATTTTTAAAATGTTTTTTAAATGTTAAAGAAAATTTTAAATATTTCTGTAAATTATACAGTTATTGTATATGTGCTACCAAAACGGTCATAAATCTTGCAATTTTGACAAATCTTCATTTATGTCAGGCAGTTTAATAATTATACCTAGCAGACAAGCTAAATAAATAAATGATGTTGATGAGCAGTTTTTGCAACCAAATATTACTTAAGAAAAAGGTTTTGGCAGAGTACCTCCCTCCTTTCTCTACACTCCTGCTGTGCAGAGTGTTCTTGCTAAGTGCAATAAACCTTTTTCACAAGGCAACTTTTGCACAGCCTTTATATGTGAGTGTCTTATTAGCATGGGCTTGAGAGCCACATAACCTCTCAAACTGCACTGGTGGCCCTTCAGACATTCCACGGGGTCTTTCAAAACAACTTTTGTTCCCGGAATACTGTAAAAACACGTCTCTGAGAGACCATAGCCAACTTCATCATATTATTGCCAATTTGTAACTACTGGAGCTTGTAGTTAAACCATTCCTTTTAGCCCAGGGGCTTCAATCCTATTTCACAGAGACTGACTCGTTTATAAAGTAGCTCAGTGCACATCTTAATCCCTCTGCATTGACAAGCAAAGACCTATAATTGGTGACAAATAGAGAGTAAATCAATATATATATTGTTCATCATAAGTCTTAGATCTTTCCCAGAAGTCACCCGCATGAGTGCCATTTCTCAACGCTGAGCCAGAAGCAAGTTTGACGTTTTCCTCCATCTTATACATGGATAGAAAATATCTTGTAGGGTGCTTTGTTTTTTATATTAATACCAAACTTTTTTTAATTTATTTGTCACTGCAAACCAGTTAATGTATAGAAAATGCACAAAGTCTGAAATCATCCTCTCTCTTACTGTAGTAAGTCAGAGAAACTGTTGTTCTGAATACTTTTTTAAGGATAAACTCTATGGAAGACATTGTGTGTGATGTTGCTTTTTGAGATGCTATTTATGGTTGGAATCCAAGATGGATCGCATCATGAAATAAGAATAATGGCAGCACTCCATTTTTTAGATTGCATGTCAGAGTAGCTGAATTGTGACTCGTTGGATTGATGTCTTTATGGTGCTGTGATGGAACAGCACAATGGAATAATGGGATTGTCTATAGTGGATTATACGCATAAATTATTTTTCATATCCCAAATGTTCATCCAATGCAGCAAAACCGTGACGCTGTGTTTTAGATTTTTATTCTATGATTCAAATCCCACCTAAACACAACCAATTGAAAAGCATTTTCTCTATTCATAGTTTTCAGTCACGTGACTACCGCGGAGCCTGGAGGGCAAAACATCCATAGAACTGCAGTCCAGTTTTACATTTGTTTCAATCCACGAATATTTAATAATTTCTAAAAAAAAAAACAAAGATATGTGAGCAAACGCAAGATATAGGCACTTGCGATCCATATTCAGCACCTGCAGCAATATTTCAATCACTAAACTAAACGACCAATCATGGAACATTTCACTGAACTCAAATTAGAGTGCTGAAAACATGATGGAGAAGATCGTTTTAAATGTAATTGAATTTCCAGAGTTGTATGATTCATCAAAAATCTCATACAGAGGTATAAATAAAAAATTCAGAGCTTTTGCTGGGTAAAAATAAAAATACGTCCAAAATGTCATAGTTTACTGTGTCTAACATGAATATTATAACAAATAACACAAACACAAACACAAAATTTCCGTTGCGGTTTATTTAGGCTAGTTCTTAGTAAATACAAATATGACATTGTTGACAGTAAATATGGCAACGTCTGCCTCGAGACCAAGACGCGAGCAATGCCTCGACTGCACAGAATGCAGAGAAAGCGGCAGCCGCTTGCCGCGTCCCGTGTAAACCGGCCCTAAAACGCTTAACGTAAATTTAGTGCGTATCGTTCATATTCTGGACTGAATCTGTTCGCCTGTATATAATATGTATCATCAATGATGTTTACACTGAATTTGGTCTATTAATATCACTGTTTTAGTACATTAGTACTTAGTACAAACCTGGTACAAATGAATGGCAGTCAGTGGAGAAAAGGCTCGTTCTGCCCTCCAGGTGGGCATTCCTTTACGGGAGTGACGTCACCTGAAAACTATCAATTGAGCATCACATTGAAGCTCAATAAATGACAGACAGGCAGAGAGCCAGAGGTTAGTGTAAGTTCCTCAACCTAAGGAGCTCCACTGGTATATTATCCTCACCCATAATGAGCTCGGGCCCAAACAAGCCAGCGGGGGCGGCAGTCCTCATTTCATGCCTGTTAGTTTTATTACGCTCTCGCTGTGCTAGAGATTAATCGGTTTCTGCTTAATTACCACTGCTGTGTTATGCTTGTTTGGGGATTCTGGTCAGATCCCCTGTGGTGGAGCAACACTACCTGTTGGAGAGATGTTGCTGTTGTTGGAGAGAAATTTATTTATTAATTTATTTATTTATCGTAAAATCAATTTAAATGATCTTTTATGTTTTTATTTTATTTTTTTTTATATTTGTTTCTTTTTCTTTTTTGGATAATGTGAATGCAATGGAACACCTTTTTTATTCAGAAGATATAGGAATAACCCACGTCCGACTTTTAATGGAGCTCAGCGTTAAATAGGCAGAAACTAGATTGGTTTTCCTTCAATCACTGCTCCTGAAAATTGGATTTTGCAACAAAACAACCCTTTTGAAAGGTCTTAGGTCTAATTTCTGAAATAATTATGAGGCACCTCTTTGTGGTGATTTTGAATTATTCTTATCTTAATGTTGTTCTACCTACAGCATCTTTAATTATTGTATCTACCTTCTGGTTAAGCATTTGTAATGTTGACTCTATAAAACAGTCAACTCCCACCGAGGTCGTAATAAGGTGTTGTTTTATTGATGTATAAGAGCATGCTGCCCAAGATGAGACATTATGTGTTCTGTAGGCCTGTGAGACCATGTGTTAATTGTTATGTTACACTAAAATGCCAGTCACCAGTTGTCATGCTATTCCAGTAGCCAGTGTGTGTGAGTGTTTCAGTGTAATCAGTGTTTTTGGTCTTGTTACTGCAGGCTGAGTCACCAAGCCCCTGTGCACCTTGACCCTGTCAGCCGGCCGTCCTGGGCTGTCAGACCCATCTCTGAGCTCATTAAACATCTTTTAAAATAGCCTGTTGGGAGCAGGATGGAGTACAGTCATATTTGGAGGCATGCAGGCGTTTTCCCTTCTTTCTCCTTCTCGTTTTTGGATATAACTTATTGCAGTGAAAAAATATGCACAGATGGAAATGCATGTGTCTTTTTTTACTCTGCAGTCCAGTTTAACTAGGAGTTATTGTACTAAAATAATGCTAAGTTAAGCCACATAAGCCGGTTGCTTTCATTATAACTAATAATGGCATACTTGCCCAAAAAGGTGCAGCAGCAATAATTATTGAATGACGATCAAATGATGGAGAAAAACGTTATGTCTATCCAGACCCTCAGTGCAGTCTGGACACTTCCAGCATTTTAAAAAGCTGATTCAGGTATATAGGTCACAATATTAGACCAATGCTGTACAGTTCCAGTAATGTATACCACATATTTAATTTAGTGAATCAGGTGCTAAATCAAATAAATGATGCAATTAATTCTTAAATTTTGAATTCACCCCACAGTCCACTATCTTGGAATGAGAGTAAGAGAAAGAAAAAGATATATGGTCTTCATGATAGCAGAATAGATTAGCTTATAATATAGTTTGTGTCCATCTAAGGACTTATAGAATAAATATTATACTTTACTTACTTTATCTGACACTTTATTCAGTTAACTGTGCATAATGCTGAATAAAGTGTTATGGTAATCAGAGTTTATAGATCAAGTAGATGTATGTTTGCACACTGTTTTAAGGAAGTGTTACAAAAGCCTTTAAGGATGGAGTATTAAAGAAGATAAATTAGATAAAGTACACTCTAAAAAATGCTGGGTTGTTTCAACCCAACTTTGGGTCAAATATGGACTAACCCAACCGTTGGGTTAAAAATGTAATGTAAAAATTTAACCCAACGGTTGGGTTAGTCCATATTTGACCCAAAGTTGGGTTGAAACAACCAAGCATTTTTTAGAGTGTACAGTGTTACATTGAAACAGATTAAGGGGAATATGATTAATATGCTTTTTGTTTTTGCTCCCTTTTTGTACTGTAGTTGCTTGAAAAAAGTCTCACACCTCTAATATATTATACCTAATCTTTGTCTTATTTTTGACCATGTTGTTGATTATTTTTTCTTGGATTTAATGGTCAAGTTTTTTGAGACTGTTGAAAGGAAAGCAAGCAGCTTTTGCATTGTGATGAAGTAATCCAAGAAATCCAAGATGGCGGCGCGGTCGGACACAGCGGCTACTCCGGGTCCCAAAAACGGTGTTTTTATGTCTGTTAGTCTCGTTTCCTCGTCTTCAAACAGTCTCATCTTATCGCAAAATCAACAGATAAACACTCGGAAACACATCTATGATCGACAGAGCCTTCTGGAAATCGGCAGTGAGTACAAACAACAGCTTTCGCCGGTGACTACTGAGAAGCTACGAGGCCTCTGTCTGCTGCTGAAGCCGAACCCCGAGACCGCGGCCTCGCCTGCTGATGCTACCCGCACAACACGGCGACGCCGGCGATGTGAGAGGGGACAGAAGCGCGGCAAGCGTGGAGGCACACGAGCTAGGCTAAGCAGAATGACAATAAAGCTCAACTTGACTTGACTTGAAGTAAATCTACAATTTCACAGACCTGCTTGGTATCTCAGATATGCTTCATCTAGCAGAAATTATTGACTGCTATTTGCAAAAGTCCCTTGGCTGGAGTTTACATAAAACTTTAAAATCCAGTGATGTCTCTTTCACAACTTTTTCACAACCCTGAGGGTTTGCTATTTCTCTGCAAAACTTCATTTCATCACTTAATTTTAACCAGACGATACATCAGTCAAGGGCAGATGATTTTGTTTTGCCATGTGGTCTTCTATTAAGGACCAATTGCAGAGGTTCGAGACAACTAACTAAGCATAAGAGTAATGCACAACTTGTCAGCAGTAGTGTCAAAAGTACCGATGTCAGTACGAGTCGGTACTTAAATTTTAAAAATGTGATGATACCAGCATTTCCCACTAGCATTTTGAGCGCATTCTTAAACACCACTACTCAACAGGTATGTCTATGATTGGCTACAATGATCATCGCTTCAAAAACATATTGTAAATATGCATCTTTCATCTATCAGCGGCTCCATCTACGAGCAGATATATTAGGGATCTGCTGATAGACGCGGCTTTCAAATGCTCCCAAGTGTAAGCGCTCTGTGAAGAGCGTGAAGCAATGATCATTGTAGCCAATCACAGACATATCTGTTGAGTGCGTGAACACAATCAGAGATGTTTAAGAATCTGCTCAACAGTGCTTAAAATGCTAGTGGAAAATGCTGGTATCATCACATTTTTTAGTGAACAACTTTGTGGAGCTCAAATCTTCACCAAGCTGGACCTGCAACACGCATACAACCTCATGAGGGAGATGAGTGGAGGACAAGACTGCCTTTTATACACCATCAGGCTTCTATGAATATCAGGTGATGCCGTATGGATTGTCCATTTCACCCAGTGTATTTCAAGGATTCATGAATGAGGTGTTCTAGGAGTTCCTCCATCATTTCGTCATTGCCTAAATCTCTGCATCTCGACGATCGCCATCGTCTCTTCTCTCACAGGGTCTGGTGTTGATTACGTACCTCTTCCTGCACCAGAGTTCGCTGATGAGGAACGTATCTATAGAGTGAACATCATTCTGGACTCGCAACGACGGGGCGGCTATCTTGAATACCTCAAGGACTGGGAGGGACATGGCCCTGAAGAGATTGTAGGTCGCTCGTGACGACACCCTAGATCCATCTCTACTTACCGAGTTTCACACGAATCATCCGAATCGTCGAGCTCCAGAGGAAGAGGTCGTCCTCCTTCGTCGTGTCGTGCGACCTTAGAGAGCTGCCCGTGGGGGGGGGGGGAGAGGTC